ACGAAATTTATTTGCGAAAAGCAACATTATATTTCGTTTTCGTCCTGAACCGTTTTTCATTTCTTGGCAAGGTTGTCTTTAATAAAGTTTGGCTTATACATTTTTGACGCCAGCTTTAAATATTTTATGTTAATAAACTTCAATATTGAAATATGGACTTATCTGTTCTTCATAGACTAACTATGGCTATAAATAAACCTATTTGACTATTGGTTCATGTCATCTGGATATCTACCACATCATACATTACTTTACATACATTTGTAATATTTATACACGTAAAACTGTTAAAAAAAAGTTTGTAGATTTTTTTCTTAGAATTTTTCGCTATTCAAAACTACTACTTTTTTGCATACATTTTTGTTTAAATTTTTAATTTGAATGCCTTACTTTATTCCATTTAATGCATGACAGAGAATATGCATTTTTAAAGAGGGCTGATTGATTTTAGGAAAAGAACTGAAAAGAAGCTAAGCGTGTACTGAGCTCTCAAAAATAAAATTAAATAAGAAGATTTTTCCCTGCTCGGATGCCAGTAAAAACGTTCAAGAGCAGTTCGCCTGCTCCGACTATTATAAGAATAACAATCTTTATACTTTCTTAGAACCAGAACAACTTAAATTAAACTTACACGAACACAACTTATTCTACAGTTAAGTCCAATCTAAGTGATTTAGACGAACGAAGACATCGATTGGATGAGACATCCGCAATCTTTTAGCCAGTCGATTGGGATGATTTCCAATCGCAGCCCGTATTGTAAAGCAAAAGTGTATTTTCTCGCAAGAATTGAATCAAACAAAGCCACGCCCAATAAACAAACATATATCGATTATTTATTAGTGCACAAAATGGTCAAAGCTTGAAGCTTTCACTTTACCACCCCTCGATAATTATGATCGCCGATTGCATAGTTGCCCTTGAGCAGCGTGGCAACCCTATAAATTAGCTACTTGGCGACAAGTGAGGCGCCGCTGCAGTCGCACCAGCCGCTGGCTCTAATGAGGAGAGAGCATAAACATAAATTATGGGCGGTCCAACTGGGGCCCCGCGGCTTATGTGCTCGCATATTTGCGCGGCATAGTTCCGGGCGCCAGGCCCGAAATATCTGTGCGGCAGGAGCGTTGCGTACTTTGGTTTGGTTAAAATGCGCTGTGTACCCTATCCTATCCGATCCTACCCTCACCCTTGCCTTGGCCATGCCATTTTTTGTGGAACACGTTGCAGTAAAAAGCATTTTGGCACGGCTTTTGTGCAGTTTTTTTTTTTTTTCTTGGTTTGTTAATTTATTTTCATTTTATTGTTTTTACTTTTTGCGCGTGTGTGTGTGTGTGGGGTTTTTTGGTGTGTGCGTGTGTGTTTGTGTATAGTTTTTGCTTAAAATAAATGTTGCTCTTTAATCATAATATATTCACAGTTTTTTAAGTTAAACTAATGTTCATTTTATTTTGTAATGCTTGTAATATTTGTATGCCATTATCATATATTGATTATTATATTTTTTCCGTTTTGCTTTTGTTTTTTTTTTTTTTATACCTTTTTTATTTTTATAAACACTGTTACATTTTTAGCATATTTACATTTTGGTGTCTTTAAATAAGTGCTCAACTTTATTATAAAGTTTGAATAAATAGTTATACATAATGTACGTAGTTGCAAATTAACTATTCCCTTTTTAGAAATAATTATAAAATTCATTAAGAAATGCACTTTAATTCATTGCCGATATGTGTATGTGGGTTTTTTTTCTCTTTATATATAAATTGTGCGTGTTTATATTGTGCGTGTGTGTGTGTGTGTGTGTGTGTGTATTCCAGCTGCTGAAATTTTAGCTAAAATATTTGATTAGAATTGAACTCACAATTGCTGATTTCCAACTAGATACGAAGGCAACACACTTAGCCAAATCAATTATAACTAAACATATTGTATACATATGCTATATATATATATTTGCCCTTTGAGAACCTGTGACAGCTCAATTAACATATTATTGCACTTATTGTTTTGAGTGCCAACTGCCAACAACATTTGCTATCCTCTAGAAGAAACATTCAACATATTTGTAGACACTAACCTATATACCTATGAAGACTTTCCAACTTACTTAACCTGCTGCAACTGTACAGTTACATATATATGTATATATATATATATATATATATGTATATATTTATTATTATAAAGTATGTGTACACACTGACTATACGCTTAGCTATTACATTTACTTTATAAGTAGGCTACACTTATACAACTCTGCTTCGCACTCAGTTTTGTGATTGGCAACTCTAAACAAAGCCCGCAAGTTGATGCAACAAATAACATGTTGTTTTCCTTCTGTTTTTTTTTTCAGGAAGTAGGGGGGACTGGCACCTTTAAACGCTGTACCATTGTGTTCTAGAAACCTTAACTATTGTATAATTATATTTATGTGTGTGTGGGTCTGTGGTTGTGTGTATTTTGTTGGCTTTCCGCTAGATTGAAAAATAGAACTTAACTGTGTTTGATGGCAACCCTGTCCATCTATCTGACCAGCAGCAGCAGCAACACAGATACGAGCATGCCGAAACTGTTGCGATTCATCGCGCTAGCTCCATCGCCTTCCTCATCTCGACATATATGCGGATGTCGTGTGAAGTCCTCGCAATAGATCTGAGATAGATAGACAAGCAAAAGATTTCTTGATTAGCTGAACGTTTTGACAGTCAGGTTCCTGAGAGACTGAACTGATTTGGCTTATGAGCATTATTGCGTTCTGTTGCAATCCAAACTCACCTTGGTTAAGCTGTTTGCGTATTTGTCGACCAGCTCTCGTGTAAACTTGGCCGCATCGTTGCCACAAATCTTGCGAGCGGCATTTTCCGAGCAATCCACCAGCTCATTTATAGAACTATCCATGATAAAACAGAAATTAAAAAATTGAAATTTTCTAGCATGTGCGAAACGTACTCAGTTTGTTATTGTGTACCTAATGTGCGTGTATATAAGTATCTAACAGATATTATCTGTGCATCTCAAGCACATTAGAAGTATTTCAACAAAGAAACTTTTTGAAATATTCAATTAGTGGATTAGCTTTGAATAGTGAAATCGTTATTAATAGAAAGGTTATAGATATTTTGATTAAATCTTATCAGAAACCATAAAGAAAAGAACACGTTACATTGCACATAAAATAAATGTAGGCCATAAAATTGTATAGCGCATATTCAGTTCTTAAGCAAGTTGCAAGAAATTACTTATACCGATTCAAGGTGAACTAGTTTTCAATTCATATTAAAACTCCATCGAAATGATGTCTGATGGATATTATGCACATCAAGCAAGTTTAGCCGAACAAACATGAATTGAAATCATAAAAAAGTTGAACTAAGCCGCAAGTGAGCTGCTGGCAAACAGGTTTTATTTTTTTTTGTATAGGCGGACTATCAGCGACTAGATCATGTAATCATGCTGATAAAAAGTGAATGCCAAATGAGCTGAGCATTATAAAAACAAATATGGTGAGTCGCATCACGTGTGTTGCACTCACCAGCAAATGGTTTTAATATTCTCGTTTAGTGTGCCATTCTCTGGAGTATCCTGGTTCTTGTTGGGCTTGAGAAAGACCATTGTCTCCTTGTAGCGATTGGCGCACACCTCGAAATCCTTTTTGGCCATCTCCGAGCAGGGCGCATGCTTCAGATACTCTGTGTGGCACAAGACTTAGACACGGCTCTGGAAATGGATGCATTATTTGGTGGACTCACCCTCTTGAAACTCGCCCTTGTTGCACAGATCCCGGATGAACTGGTTGGTGCCATGGTAGAGCTTATTGAACTGGTTCCGCTGCTGCAGATCCATGCAGCGACGCGTATAGCTCTGAATGCATCGTACGCCCTTTCGCAGCTCACTGTGAATGCGGTGTAGAGGAGTGAGGGGAATGCAAGTAGATTGTGTTGTTGGGACATTAGACATGGATAACAGACATGACGGCGTTAATGCTATTGTTTCAATTCAGGCAACTACAACTTACTGACAAAGTTTATCCAATTCGTCCTTCTTGGCAGCGCCAATCGAAAATTCCGACGTTAAATGCAGCATTTCAAGTGGTTCGGCGCACTTGGTGAACTCCTCCTGGCCGCATTCCTCTGACCTTACGACCGCCATCAGCAACGCTGTTTGGCACAATGCACATTTTCAGTTGCGAAATTCGAGTACAAAAATGTAACAAAAGGATGGGGCGAGAAACACAGAGTCAGTTGGTGAAGGGTGTGCGGGGTGGTGGTAGGAGGGGGGAGGTTTGGGAAAGGGTGGTAGGTGCAGAAGGAGACAAATAAACAAACTGGCAAACAAACAGTGGATAGTGCTCAACTTGAAAGCTAAAAGGCAATCTGAGACTTGGCGCCGCTGAGTCTCTCACACTCACGCACACCTACACACTCACACACACACACACACACACACACACCGTGCACAGTCAGCTTGTCTGTCTCTCTCTCTCTCACACTTACTCGCTCTTTCGTGGAGCTCTGCCAGCTGCAACACAAAGTTGCAAATGTGCGTCAGGGGTAATAAAGTTGGGCGTAAGTGAAATTGGCATTTCATAAATTTAAACTTTTCGGTTTTTGGTATACGCTGCCTGACCCCCCCTCCCCTCTTGCCACCTCCCCCCGCCCCTTTCCTATCTCTTGCCCTGCCCAGTGCATCTATTGCCCGTGTGGCGGAAGTCACGCAGCTGCCAATTAAACTGACTGACAGCCCTCACCTGATCGCAGCGATAAGAGAGTCAAGCTCGGATTCGGATTTGGATTCGGACGTAAACTCAGCATCAGTTCCAGATTCATGTTCTGATGCGTTTGCAGTTTTGCCCAGAGTCAGGCCATATTTTGCACTTACCCGCCAGCAGCAGCGTCGTCCACGTCAAACAGCAACAGCTTCGATGCATTTTGTTTTTCTTTTGCGATTTGCCTTTGTTTTCTATATCTTTGCTCTGTGTTTTTTTTTCTTTTTGCCTTTAGTTTTGGTTCCAGTTTACACTTTTTTGCACGTTTTACCGTGTAATTGCTCCCGTCATTTGCACTAAGATCGCACGTGTGACGTCAGACGACAACTACTTGAAAATGAAAAGAAAGACGAGCAAAAAATAAAATAAATATACTGATAAATCAAGAGAAAAGATATAACTGACAAAAGCTACACATGGCTACAAATGCGCCTCAAATGCAAAAATATTGAGTGCATTTTACACTTTGACCAAGAGTACTTCAGACTTGACGTTAGGTGTGTTAGGCATTAAGAAAAGTCCATTAATCGGTTGTTTAACGTTCCGATCTTTTTTAAGCATGAAAATATTAATGTCTAAATATAGTTCTTTGTATATAGAATGTTAACCAAGGCAAGAGTATGTTGAATTCGGCTTGAATTTTCTATTCTTCATCAATTAATTATTTTATTTGAAATTTCAGCATAAATAATGCGTTAATTTTGACGTTTTTATTATTTCACTGCAAATTAAGATCTTTCGGCGCACTTCAACAGAAATTCTCAAACAAGAGCAACAAATTCTATAAATATACAAACAAAAAATAAAGAAAATATAATCTAAGAAAAACGAAAGCCGAAAGCAACAATTTTATTTGTTTGGGTTCTTCACTTGGTTTTTGTTGTGGATCTTTTGGCTACTTTTTATTGTACACATCGTGAATAAGTGAGAGCATTCGAAAACTTGATTTGGTCTTGTCGAAGAGTAAAAGGGTGCAAAGTACAAAGCGCTCTACATTTGTTTTATATTCAAATCAATTTAACTTCCGACACGCTAAGCAGTTAGATATTTAAAAGTTGCTACACGGAAGTTGGGGGAATAATTGAAAGAATTGAGTTAATTGAATGAGAATTTAAATTGAATTGAGAGGAAATAAATAAAATAAAAATAAAAGTAATAAAATAAAAAAAAACTACGCATATCTTTAGTATATGTGTAAAATGGAATAAATTTAAATTGAAATAATATTATTAAGCCTTACAATTGAGTTCCGTGGCATAAACATATAATTAAAAACTTGTGTAATATTACGTCCTATATTTACCATCAATAAAGTAAAACTCACACGCCCTATCACATAAAAAGTTTGCATTGCCATTTGCATTATACTAGTTAATTATATACGAGCTATATACTAAGTATGCAAATGTTGATGTATTGTAACTGCCATATGCAAATATTATGAATTGTCTTTCAATTAAAATGTGGCAGAAAAATACTTAGACCTGATTTAAGATCATTAATTAAGTCATTTAGGACTCAATTAAGATCCCAAAGCAGTCTAATGAAAAAGTTAATTCTAATTTTATTTGATTTGAATAGCTTGAGCTTTGAAAATGAAAGTAATGTCAAACTTGATGCCATAGTCGATATGCCCCACTGAAAAACTCTTGACTGCAGCCTATCTACGAGCCGAAAAGCGATATAACGTAGGCGTGCGAATATGCAAAAGAAACATGCAAAAAAAAAAAATAAGTAAAAGAAACAGAAGACAAAAAAAAGATTTTGCTTTGCACAAAAACCGTGCCAAATTATTATTTACTTTGTTTTTTTTTTTATTTCGATTCAGTTTTACAGTTCTGATGCAGGCTGCATGTGTGTGTGTGCGTGTGTGTGTGTGTCCGTGTGTGTGTAGTTTTTGTTATGTTATCTGTTTTTAAGCACTTTTAGTGTTCCATAAATAAATAAATGCCAGCCAATTGGCACATTTGCCATAGCTTCTGATAGTTTCCGAAAGCGGGTTTTGTTTATATTCGATTAATTGTAAACGAATACCAGAAGAAAAAACATATTGTCTGAGGTCAGTTCATGCTTAGCGTTGCGTTGCGTTGCGTTTCGTTTGAAAGCGACTTCAGTTGGTGGAAAAGTCGTGTGACAGACACATTGACATTGGGTCAAAGAAATTATCACTTAGCTAAAAGCTAAAATGCTAATAGATGCTTGCAACGACAACAACTTCAATAGCAATAACAGCAACAACAACAACAACAACACTGTGGACTACTTATACAACAAATTGAAACGAGCAAATCTAATGGACTTTTGTGTTTTCCAATTAAATGCTCAATGATCAGCTGTTGTTGCCTCAATTGACAAACGGAGGAAAACAAAACACTTAAAAAATATCCGAAATGAGAAGACAAGGAACAAAAATCGAATGCCACACGGTTAAAGCAAGAGAAGAAAATTTAATGAAATTGAAATTGAAATTGAGCGAGTCGTATTTTTGAGACAGATCGCAAATTGCAGTTGCCTTGAAAGTGCGCGCCAGCGGGGCGCACTGCTGGGCGGGGCAGCACGTGACGCAAAGAGTGCCAAGATTCAAAAAAATGCAGTCGGACGAGCCTCTCGCCCGCCGATGCCGATGCGATGCGATCTGCATGCGGCCGGCACAGAAATCAGGTTTTTACTTTATATTTTTATTTTTATACGCATTTTTTTAATTTAGTATCTGCGTTTTTTTCTGTTATGGAAATAATATTGTTGTCATTGCCTGATTTGATTGCATTTACAGCTAGAGAGCGTCCACACCTGCGCGACGATCATTAAATTTCAAAACACTTTCCCAAGTTCTGAGAGCAGCTGTAGAGACGCAAGCGCGCCGCGTTGTTCGCCGTGCGAGTAACAAAAATGTACTGAAGAAGCAGCAGCAACAGCAGCTACGCAAGCAGCAGCCAGCCGCAGCAGCAGCAGCAGTAGCAGCGGACGGCACCCCGCCACACCCACCACACCCACCGCGAGCAGCTTCGTTGGCGCACGAATGGCAAGCGCCAAGCGTTCGTTGGGCACTTGTCGTGCATGTTGCTGGCAACATGGCAAAATGTTGCCAGCTGCGCTTGGCAACACTGAAACAACAGGTATTTGCATGTTGCCAACGCTCGTGTTGCTATTGTTGTTGTTCACTTCTCTTTTGTTATTTTTTTTTTTTTGATTTAGTGTGTGTTTTTTGTATAGACAGCTGCATTTGATAAGCCAATCAACGCAGCTGATGCGCTCGCTGCCTAAGCACATTTCAAGCAACATTTTTTGCTTCTTCTGTTTTTTTTTTTTGTTTTGTTTTGTTGTATTGTTCTTATCAACTGCATGCACTTGATTTATTATAAAGAGCTGATAATTTGCCGAACTCTTTAACTTAATTAATTGAATAAGCCAAAACCATTGAATTTCCTGTCGAGCGATAAGATTTACTTGCAGCTATCTGGCCCACAGATGGCCTCGTCAATAAGCCAATAAGCCAATAAGCCTTAGACAATTGTTCCTAATAATAATTTCATTTTGGTTTGTAAAATATTTGTTGTTTATATTTGCGCAACACAAACCTACAGCAACAACAACGACAGGAACAACAGACAACGGCGTCACTTCGACTCAAGTGTCGAAATTTACACGTGTGTCCTTTTGTTTTCCTTGTCACGCTCTCGCCATCTCACTCACGCCTGCGCCTGTCAAGTGCCTGTGAAAATGGTCGCAGGTTTTTGTTTTTCTTATACCCGCACCCGAGGAGTAGTATCTACGCTTCAACAACGTACAAACTGGACACTGTTCTCTGTCAGAAATCTAGAATTTTGTTTGAATATCTGAAAATCTATTACAGCTTTTAATCTACTAAAAATATTTTAAATAGCATTAAAAAATTAAATTAAAATATTGATAAAGTCAATTTCAATTTTTATATCTAAGATAATTCAAATAAACCAAATTCAACTCTTCTGTTCTTTCGTCACTTTCTTCATTTCTTCATTTCATTTTCTGAAACATGTCTAAGCATTTAACGCAATACAATTTATTTGGCCAAAAAGGTAAGTTGTACTTGGTTTAACTTATACAAAATCAATCAATAGTAAATGCGAGCTCGGTGCGGGTATTTGGCAGTCGTGCATGGTTGAATGTTTGTTTGCCTTTGCCTTTGTTTGTATTTAGTTAATATGCAACATTCCGTTGAGTTGAGCTTTGTTTGCAATGTGCCAATTTGTCGCAATGTTTGTGTATTTGTTGTAAATAATAACTAAATTAGGCAGAGATTTCATTTTTATTTTTTTTTTTACCCCACAAATACGACAGCTATATAGGTTCAGGGCCAATAAATGAATGTCACGGCAGGCAACGGTGTTCGACATGAATATACAGATCCATAAATAATCGAACCGATAGCATTTTATTGAGCAACTGTTCCTTGGAGAGGGCCAATTGTGACTTGCATTTGTCCTTTGTTTAGTTTTGATAACTATCTCAATAGATTTGTTTACACTTAACGCCTGATGAACATTTCATGAATTGCCTTGCAACAATATTTATCTTAAAGCAAGGAAAGTAAAGAAATTCATGGAAGTACGTCAAAATTTGTGTAAATATCCATGATATATATATATATATATTTATGATATTATTCCATGTTGACAGAATTTTACAGATATGTGAGGAGCATAGTGAAACTTATAAATGCCAAAGTTTTTAATACAATCACCCACTTATAATATGATATAGTGGTCCCATCCAGTATAAAAATGAAAGAAAGTGTGCTTATATTATCTCTCCCGCACGTGGGTACTCTTTGTTCTAAATATAATAACTAGATATGCTTGCAAGTGCAAGTGCATATAGAATTTGTAATTTGATAAGTGTTCATTTATATTTCAAGTTGATAAACAAAACTAAATTCGTCAGTCAGAAAAAGTTTTAATATAACGTTTGAATAGTGTCATCTAATACTTATAATTGAAGTGTTAATGGTCTGATAGCTATTAGAAACGCTATTAATTATTGCAATAACTCATTGAATTTTTTTTGCTGTTTAATTTTCTTGATTATGATTCAACAATTTATGCCAGTGCAAAGATCATCTCTATTCGCATGTTATTTCTAATTAGAGAATCGAATCGATATAATAGTAGTCCATGGGTTACAAAAGCATATTCGTGCGTCTCAAAGTTTAATAACTATTAATATTTGAAGTTAATTCTTATTCGACAGTATTTTATATTTAAATTTTAAGTTAATTCTTATTGTTTTATTGCACCCAATATTCATGCATTTAAAAAACTTTTACTTTAAATATTTTATGCAGGGTGTTTAAGGGTATTTAATTTTCGGCGTGGTAATTCTTCTTACGTAGCGTTTGATTGAAACGTATTTCAAATAGAGTTAAATTATTAATGTATTACTTATATTTTAACGACATTGCATGCGTCTGTATGTGTGTGTGTGTGTTTGTGTGTGCATTAAGCGTCCTCCATTTTGGCATTTTTTTCACCTGACAGGAAGCATAACCTGACGCTCCGTAGAAGCCAGGGCTAAAACTGGTGCAACAAGCGTTTTTTTTCTTCAGTTTTCTTGCCCAGAAGGTCAGGCCTTGCGGATGTGTGCATGTGTGTGCGAGCGCGTATGTGTGTGAGCGGGTGGGTCGTTGGGCTGAGGTCATTACCACTGGACACATGCGTAGGGACGGCTTCCAGGAGCTTAAAGCGGCCATTGAAAACAAAATGAAGTTTATTTTATTTGCATTGGCTGCCAAACAACAACAGCACACACGCACACTAGCCCACACACGCACACACACGCACACACATGGCAGCAAAAGTCGCGCATTAAGCGTTACAATAATAACAACTACGGAAACGAGCTGCAAAAACGAAAACAACAAAAGCTTCAGCATAACGGTGAAAGTGGCTGGCCGCATAGTCTATGCGTGAGCGAGCGAGAGAGTGCGAGCAGCGCAGCGCTAACTTTGCCTCCCCTTTGTGCTGCTGCTGCATTCGTTTGCGTTTGAACTTTGCAAGTGTAACTTGTTGTTGTTGTTGTTGTCGTTGTTTTTTTTTGTTATTATTGCTGGCTTGCTGGCCGGCGAGTCACAAGTTCTCCCAACTGTTGATGTTTACAGTTAGCGCTCGGATTTATGAACTCCGCATGCGAAGCACGTAACATTGGACAATTTAAAGTTAAGCACACACACACCCACACACACACACACCCACACACACACACACATGCAGAACGCATGCCGCTAAAAGGCTAAGCAACAAGGACCTTTGTCCTAGCGATGACAATAAGTAATGCGCCTTTGCTACCAAGCATTACGCTTAGTTTAGTTTTATTAGTTAAGCAACTATCTGAAAGAAAAAACTTTAAAAATTAATGACAACGCCAAGTTTTGAGTGTGCGTGTGTGTGTGTGCGTATCTATTGGATCGCAGGAGGCATTGAGGGCAGAGCGCGCCCAAAAGGCTGCTAAGTAAATGACCAACAATTACCCGCAGAAAATGCCGCAAAGCTTTTTATGGCACGCCATTGCTGGTTGTTGCCCTTGCTAAGCTTTTATAGCAACGAAATGTGCGTGTTTGCAAATTGTGTGGTTGGAAACTTGGATAATGCTTGGTGTTTTATATCTACATTTATTATATGTCCTGTTCCTATGCTTTGGATAACAAATATATATAATATATATATTTATTATATTTTATATATATTATTAAATTGATATTTTTTAAACTTATTGATTTATGGATAGCAATTTTCTCAGGAATTTTATGTTTGTACTACCATTGTGTTATATATCCGATATTGCTCGATGCTGAAATAGGTTAAATGTTAATATTAAATTTGCAATTATCGATAGTTTAGTTAAGGCCTGAACTATATATTAAAGAAATACCAAGATTCAGCTTTGTTATCGAGATTTTCCGATTCATTGAACTGATTCAGCGGCTCAACAGCTGCTGCATTAGCATTTAAATAGACTTGTAGGCTGTATATCTGCCGTATGACTTACAAATTGCGATGATTAGAACGTTAATTGTGGCGCGTAAATCTAACAAATAGCCGCTGCTCCACATCACAACATTCATCAGGCGCCGTGGAAGAGACTGAACCCAAAAAAAGAAGAAAGTTAAAAAAGAAAGACCTCTATTTTCGGCACACCGAAGCTTAAATACCTATGCAGACATATGGCTAAGGGCATTGATGATATAGGGGAGAATGAGTTGAGTTTCATGTAGATAACATTATTCCATACTAAAACAAACATCTTGTTCGATTCTTTCTATAAACGAAGCTTTGTAAATCTTGTAAATTCCGAGTTCGGTCAGGATATCTTGACAAAAAAGACAGGAGATTCATGCAAGAACCGAGTTTTGCAGCCTTCATTTATAATACCGTTACAGGATAGATATACTGCTCCGATCTGGCCAAATTCCAAATATTTGCTGCCTGCTAGAGAAAAGTTTCATGGCAATCGCTTTACACTCATATCGTCGATTGATACCGACAAGATGTGTTACACATTTCATGACAAAATTATAATACTCTTAACTAGAGTAATATAAGAAAAAAATCACAAGCACGAAGCTCCCCAAGCGGTTGCCAGCCAGTCGGCTGTTGGCCAGGATTTACGAGCCGCATTAGCGGCAACGGCAGCTGCAGCAGCAGCAGCAGCAGCAGCAACAGTTTGTGCTGCTCATAAGCAAATTTTTGTGGCAAGTAGCTGGCAACTGGCGGAGGCAGTCAGCACTTTGGTCAAGTTGGAGTTCCAGTTTTGGACTCGGACTTGGACTCGGACGCGGACATGGACTCGGACTGGCAATGTTTACGGCCGCGTTGACAGTTTAAATCGCTGTGCGCTCGTAT